CCCTCCCCCCCCTCCACTCCCCCCCCTCCCCCACGCCCCTCCCCTCCCCCCCCCCCTCCACCTGCCCCCTTCCCACAGGCCCCTCCCCCCCCTCCCACTGCCCCTCCCCCCTCCCCCCTCCCACTGCCCCTCCCCACTGCCCCTCCCCCTCCCACTGCCCCTCCCCCCTCCCACTGCCCCTCCCCCCCTCCCCCCACTGCCCCCTCCCCCCCCTCCTCACTGCCTCCCCTGCCCCCCCACGGCCTCCCCGCCCACCCCCATCATTGACCCCCCACTCACTGACCCTCAGCTCTCTCTCACCCTCAGTCTATTCATTCTGCCTGTCACCCTGTCATTGACCCTCAGCTCGGCTCTGCCTCACCCCCTCACCCTCCCCAACCTGTCAATCACCCCCTCCATAATTCTCGTTTCCATCCTGCAATCCTCCCACACCCCCTATCCCCCCCTCCCCCCATTTACCCAAACCCCCCCTCGCCCCCACAAGCTGCAATTCTCACACCTGTACAGACAGACAGACTTGGTTCAATGTCTCATCAAAAGGATGACCCTCCTCCACAATGCAGCCTGGACTGTGAGTTCAGTCTTGATGTGAGCCGGTTAGGTGGGTTGCAACTGGGAAGGTATTACACTCGGCCAATTTTTTGCCCCGTCTCATAGCCTGTCATTGAGTAGCATTTAAACAAGTAATGCTCAAGGATTGGTTCTTCCATTAAGCCATTATAACACATCTCAGGCAACTGTTTTCCCATGTTTTTCTCACACATGCATTAGCTATTTAATATAAAAAATAGAAAAAATAATACATTCACAACTGAATTCAGAACAAATCTGGTATAGCTCTTGACTTCTGAAAAAATTCAACAAGTTTTATTATGTTCCATCTTCTCAACTGAAAATGATACTATTTTGCATGCAGGATTGCAGTTATGAGTATAAAACAGTAAATCTCATAGAATACACTGCCTGGCAGTAATCAAAAGCAATCGTTTAGAACCTTGTTCACTAAGTTGAAGTTGAATAAATTTGCTGTTGGATATGTGACCCCTCCCCAAATTGACAGACTGTAGTTTGAGTATGAATTTCCAATAATACAATAAATTATATTAAAACAATATTAAACCTCCAATTTAAAAATTCAATGACTAACTTTTTCGTACTTAAATTATTATACTTAATCAATTCAATATTGAACCTAGCAGTAAACACTGGCAAATTCTGAAATGTTACTGTACTCAATATGTACAGTACAAATTGACCAAATTTTACTTTTAAAATACAGAAGCTAGAGTTTTATTTTAAACAAACTAATGCTTTTCAGTCATATTATTTGCTTCATTATGGATTACAACCTACAAGAAATATTTTATATTTTATTAATTCAACTGAGGAATGTGTGATAGATAACAATAAAAAAGCAACTAGACAAACTTGGACAACGTTCTTAAGGAACATACAACAGAACTGTGCAAACTGGGTTGAAAACTGTGTGTACAGATCAAAAGCAAAACAAAAATTAAAAATAATGTACAATATTCATCTCAGGAACTGTATTAAGTATCACTGCCATATTTTACAAAGTCTTTTTTTGCACTGAAAGTTGATGACTGTTAGAGACTTCCTCACTTCACTCTTCTAAGATAATTCTCAAGAAAAGGGCTTATATGCCAGTTGCAATCCAGATGTCATTGGTCCATTGGTCACATGACCTTGAAGCGTCTCTCATCCATATGCCATCAGCAGGACATATCCCAGGAAACCTCGATAGTTCACTTCAGACGTAGAAAAGTCTGACCTTGGAAGTACTTACAAGGAGGTCATCATCATAGAATTTAGTTTCTATGACTACATTACCACTGTGTTGAGGGAAGAAGAGGAAAGAAGTTTAAATCATTGCAGAATTCAGCAACACAATCAACTGATCCAGCAATATAGCCCAGCATCCTTTTGTCTGATTGATTGCTACTTCATACTTGCATTTATATAGCGCCCTTCATGCGGGGTAATGTCAGAGCGCTTCACAGTGGCGGAATCTGACAACGAGTCACACACACTGTTTTGACATAACACCCTTAGATCTTTTAGCAACAAAAATAAAATGTCTCCCATTCTTCTCATTTACCCATTTATATACAATCTCACCCTTTGTGTGCAAGAGTAAAAATTAAGGTAATTTTTTCTGTAGTTGCTCTTGCATCACTCTAGTTATGTTAGAAAGTTAAGACTTCCAACATTGAGAAATAAAACAGATTCTCAAATACGCCCAACCCAGACTTCACAATCCACAGCATTGCAACACAGAAATGAGGACAATTTTGATCTTACATAACAAAAGATAATTCCAAGGATCACACTTCTGCCAATATTATCACATAATTTCTTCCAAACAATGAAAATAATTTGTTAAATCTAACATAAACCACAATCACAAGCCGATGAAGCTGAAAACATTTGGAGTCCTGTAGCTCAGTGGTTAGAGCACTCGCTTTGCAAGTGAGAGACCTGAGTTCAATTCCAGGCAGAGGGCGAAACCTTGGGCAAGTTTCCTTACTCCACACAGAGCCTAATAATAATCCCTCCAAAACTAAAAACAATAATTAAATTGGTCATTTTCAATCTACGACTGTTTGTGGGACATTGCTGTGCGCAATTGGCTGCCGCGTTCGCCCACAAATATACAGTCAATTCACTTTACAGTGTGTTCTGTGAAGCGCTTTGGGACGTCCTCCCGACGTGAAAAGCGCTATATCAAATGCAAGGATTATTATTATTATTATTATTATTATTTCTCACATGGTTTTGAAAAAAATATAATCATGCTCTATGATTAAAAGGGCAAAGTCCTCAAAGAAACTTCACGAAAGAAACAGCAATATACAAGAAAGGAAAATAACATGAGATGATAGCAGGCATAACACATTCATATTTGTTTATTGTTTATGCTACTGCAGATTGTTCTTATATCAACTCAATTGGTTTATAGTGACAGAATAACATATTAGTAAGATTTTACATCAAAATCACTTACCTTAACACATTAGCTGGCATCATCTGTGATTCTGGCGCTGCTTCTATTAGTGACTGCCAGGTGTTCGTAGAGTTGGGGATAACAAAACCAAATTCAAAGAACCATTCTGAAAAATACAGAATTGTCCCTTTATAAAAGGTAAAATGCAATAAATGTCACCTCTTGTATCCCTTGATTAAAAAAAAGTATCGGGATTAGTGAAGAGGTGTGACACAGATGTATTTGTATCTTAAATAATCCTTGCATCCATAATAGCTCAACTATGACAGATTGTAAGATAGTTAAAGGTAGGGCAAGCATTGTTAATAAAAGTAATTTATACTGCATTTACCACTTTTTGTCCCTCTAAATACATTGTCCCATTGCATAAGATAAGCTGAAAGGAAGTAGAACATTTTATTGTGTATCAAAATGTGTAAATTTCAGAATTTATTTCCATACTTCTGCAACCTGAAACAAAGTATTTTGTGATTGTTTACTGTAACATTTACGGAGAACCAGCAACACAGAACAAATGTATGTACCTTCTAGGCACTGTCCTTTGAAAAAAACTTTTTGTTCTAGTCTGAATTTTTCCATCTGTTCAGAAGAGGAAAAGTTTAATTCTCGGGAGACGGCTTTACACTTCAAGATCTTTTTAGGAACTCGAGCTGAAAAAAAACAGAATAGAGTAGATTAGAGTAGAGCATAGAAGCCAGACAACAAAACCAAAAGAATTAATCATTTTCAAATCAACTTGTGCCCACACACAATGGCTACCTAACTGAAACTCAATAAAATGACCTAAACATTTAAACAGTGTTTGGTTCACAGGCACCTGTTGTTCTTCCTCCACTATATTTTACCAGTACTGTATGGAACCATATTTGCAACTATTACAATAACAACTTGCACTTATATAGCGCCTTCAGAGCCCTTAAAAACACTTTTATCAGAGGTATGAGCAACAATTAAGGCAAATTACAATGGAAACCAAACAAAATAAAGCAGGCTGTTTGTCATGTACATAAACAGAACCATTTATAAAGTGAGAAAATAAGAACCAAATTGTCTCCATAGTGAAAGACCAAAGGTACCAATCCAGGGTGGCAAGATGTTTGATGCGTGGGCCATTTCTAATGCAATGTTATGATGATACCCTTTGCATTGTCCTTCATCATTAGAGGGATCCTGGACATGTTTTTGTATGGGGGTAAAGAAAGAGAATGAAGGGGAAAAAAAAGCACAAATCTTCCTGGACTGTGGGTGGCGGAGGATGAAAGATAAAACAACAACAACAACAAGATTCCATTTATAGAGCGCCTTTCACGTCAGGAGGACGTACTGTCTTATAAGGGGACAAAGTGCATTGGGATCATCTACCACTTAAGATGATCAGGCAGCAGCCTGGAGATTATAACACTAGACATGCCATCAGACTGCCTAATGCACCACCATTAAGATGCTTCTGCTGAAACTGAATTCACATCTGCCAGCGATGTAGGCTCATCTGTATGACTAGTACAGTCTGGATCCACATGACCACCGGAATCAGTATAAATTGTTATAATTATATCACCCAATCTTCCATTTCCTGAGAACCTGCCCGATCAGGAGGATAACCTCTCCTTCAGTTTGCAACGTGATGCACAGTGAACAGGAAATGTTTGGATGTCCAGGTGGAGGCTCTCGACAAGCACATAACCTATCTCCTTCTAGATACGCTTATTCAGGTTTGCTTCCCACCTAGAAATTGGCAAAACATTAAATACTAAATGCAAATGTTGTGTTGATTTCCCCCCTTCCCCCATCGACATTCAGTAGGTACAGAGAGCACAATCAACACGATTGCTGTACCTTCATGTTCCACTCCAGGTAGTGAGAGATCTTCTGTGCCTTGCCACAAAACCTTCCCCGTCTCTGCATCACGCAGATTCATCCAGTTACTGAAGAAAGACTTGGTCAAGTAAATAACAGTTGTGTACATCAAACATGTGATTTCTGCTACATTAGCCCTGCTCTACCACCAAACTGTGGATGCTACAGTATAAATATCTGCATATAAATATATTAATCAACAGTACCAGAAAATTTCACGTGGGTCTATTGTTTTAACCCAAACATTTAATTTAGACTGATCACAATAATCATATCAAAACATATTCTAAAGTGGGCAGTAAGTCTTTGTTTTTACCTGTATACAAAGGAGTTTTGATGTTAATAAAATGCAAATAAAACTTTTTTGCCATTGTTACTTGTTTGCTAATTTCAATACAAAATAAGTACCAAAGGAAACAAAAAACATCAGAACTACTGTTGTATCATAGTGAGAGTCTCTATTCAGATGCAACTGTTGCAATTGGTTAACACTTTCTTACTATAAGAGAACATCAATAACAACAAACTACATTTGTATAGCGCCTTTCACATCAGGAGTACAGAAATACAAGTCAAAAGGTATCACCAGCATTTTCCAGACCTTTTTATCATAGACACAAAAAGACTTCAAGTTTAAGCAGCAAAACTCTTACTAAGCAACTGAAGTAACAACCCCAAAGCAATTATTTTAATTTCTTTGGAGTCTAGACTATCAACATATTCTGAATGTCTTTAACCTGGTACTTTGTGAAGTCCACCGATTGTGACATGTTTCGCCCACAAAAGTGCAGTCAATTCACTTGCAATTCACTTATATTCTGTAAAGCGCTTTGAGATGTCTAGAAGACGTGAAAAGCGCTATATCAAATGCAAGGATTATTATTATTGTTTGACAAAATCATCCCACTCATCAAGGTTTAATTTAAATGATACACTGATTTTAAAAATAATTACTGGTACTTAACAAGAACAACAACTTGCACTTATATAGCGCTCTGCACACAGGGTAGTGTCTCAAGAGCATTTAACAATGCAGGAGCTCAAAACTGAAGGTTAACATTGATATTGTGTTTGCTAACAAGGACAAGTGCATGTCTATAAAAATAAACTACATGCCCAAACTCTATTTTCACATCTCAAAGCTAGACTGGAGGGCATCATGCTTGTGAGGATCAAACAATGATCAAATGTAGGCATGGCCTCATTTCTACTGCACATATTCTTCAGGAGATGGCTTCCCAATGCTGCAAATAGTTCTGACAAGTTCTGATGGCAAATTGGTGGCAAATGGAACAGGTGGTCATGACATGACCTACAGCTAATGAAATTTTGGAAGCATTTAAAGTTTGCAAGTATTGAATTGTGGAAAGAAAACCTTGTAGCTGAAAACAATTGTGTAGCTGTGAGAAAACAAACTGCATTGATTCTCACCAAGCAAGAAGCACAAATTGGGAGGAAAACAAACTGAGGCAGAGGAGACACCATTATGCTGTACTAGAATGAAAACACAGCAGGAGTTGTGTCTCCATTTCTGGGGGGGTGGGGGGATGCGACCCATTTCAATAGTGATCACAACTTATTAAGGTTTATTAAGACTTGTGCCTGACATAGGCAAAAGAGAAAGTGCAAAAGAATAAAAGGTTTCTCTACACTTCTAACAAAGCAGGATACAACATCAGTTATGGTCTATTCTGCTCTATTACAGTATTTTTAGAAAAGCAAAGCAGCTAATGTACAAGCTTAACAATTACACTGTACCCAACAACAAACTGATTTATAATGCACTAAAATATTGTTGGATCAGTTGTACAATGCAACTGATACTTGAAACCGCTTTTAATCCTGAAGAGCATTAAAGGGAGATTGGAAAAAATAAGTGTGTTCCACCCTTTTCATCTGAAATGTGATTAATTGGCTTAGGATTTCTTTCACCTTGCATGACAAGCATTGCTCCTATTTATAGGGTCTCCTTATCTCTTGAGTACTGCCCAGGTTCCTGGCGAGATGATGATGAAGAAAATGCAGAGGACAAGAACATTCTGAAATGGATTTGCTTGAAATGGAAGATACAAATGATAATTTATTTAAGCATGGAAGAGGGAGGAATGATTCACAAGTAACAGAGTTGCAGAGTATATGTACCAAATTTTAAATCATATTAAAAAGTTATTTAATACTTTATATTCTATTATTTGTTAAAATCAAGATGAAAACATTGATATCTGAGTCACCAGCTATAGTTGGGATGTCCTCCCGATGTGAAAGGCATCCTATAAATGTAAATTTGGGTTTACTGATCACAGGGCACAGATACGATGACGATAAATGTTTGCATTTGATATACAGCCTTACCGTGTCGTTGAAAAATCTCAATGTACTTCACAGGAATTTTACTATAAAGTGTGGTGACTGTATTTTATTCTAGTCAAATTACTGCAATTATGAATCAATGATAAAGTATGAAAATAAAAATCACCATCAGTCAACTGGAAGAGGAGCTGTATGGGAACAGGAAACAACCACAACATTGACACATTTGTGGATTATGAGTAATTGATATAAAATAAAGCATGAAGAACTTAACCAAGGATATTTTTCTTGAGGAAATTGTGCAAATTCTGATCTTCTGCACTGCAAAAATGAACGCCAGAAAGATGCAGGGAATCCCTGAACTACAGTATAGCACTGTAGAATGGGAACAACCTTTAAATAATGGAGTACAGTATTTTGCTTCACAAAAGTGTTTGATTTCTCAGCACTGATATCCCTTAATTAGATAAGCAGTTAAATTAAATCTAGTTCATCGGCAGGCCCACATTGGTGGAGGATGACAAAATCTTGGTTCACTTTATTCCAAAGTCACTAATGTTATTGAGGCTAGAAACAAGAGTTTAAGCAGAGAATGTTGAAGATACTGAACTCAGGGCTACTCTTTGTGAAAGAAATCTAGAGACTGATTAAAACGATTTCTCATTCTGGTCCAAATCCAAAGTGAAGTTTTTTTTAAAATGAGTTACGAGGCAACTATTCACACATTGGGATGTATGAAAGAGTCTTAAGCTTTACCCCATTTCCAAAGACTGGCATCTGTTGAAGGGAACACACTCAGGTTTGAATTAAGTCCTTTGGTGAGGAGTTACAATGCTGATACAACAAGCCCCATATAACCCTTCCAGGTGTAAGCTTATTCCCCACACCCTCTACAAAAGAAATATGCCTACTGTGCCATATAGGGTTTTCACATTTCCAAAATGCTTAATATTCAAAAGGAAAATGATTTCAGCAAAATGTTATACCCAAGGACTGTATTCAGTGATCTGTCCATATCAACTAAATAGCTGCTGCCAGTACATTCGACCACAGCTGTACAACAAAAGAACCGGAGCACAAGTCCTTTTTTCATCTCGCAAACGTTGGTTTCTGACAGACCCTGACACTCATTGTCTCCTACAGCTGCTACCACTTCATTGCACCATCTGCACTTTTAATCCTGGAAAATGTCAAAAACTTTCCATCATCAACTCACTGCATCTCTTTTGTATGTTGATAACCTGATTTAAACAAAAGCACACAACTTATTTAACTATTTCTTACTCTTGTTGAGCCATTAGTTGTGACAGGAACAACATTGATGTCTTGAATTCTAAAAAAAACATTATCTCTGGATAGACAGTGTGTATAACCAGCTTTTTATATCCTTACGACGTGAAAGGCGTATATCCTTCCGACAGGAAAGGCGCTCTATAAATGCAATCTTGTTGTTGTTGTTTTCAACACAACATATATTAATGAATCAAACACAATATCTGTTGCTGACGATGTTAGATTCTATGTTTGTGGGACATTGCTGTGCGCAATTGGCTGCCGCCTTCGCCCACAAATATACAGTCAATTCACTTTACAGTATATCATGTGAAGCACTTTGGGACGTCGAGAAGACGTGAACAGCGCTATATCAAATGCAAGGATTAATATTATTATTATAATACCAAATGTCTCGACTCCTCTCTCAAACCCCCACCCCCAAAACTACTTTATATTTAGAAAACTTTAAAGAACTCACCATAACAATCCTACCACATTCCTGAGCAGGGCGTTAATTGATAAGGTGCACCAAAATTAAATGTTAATCTCCCTTTATCTTCTTTTGTAACTGTGCGACACAGAATGTGCAACAGTTCTGTTTTAAAAGGCATTATTCATACAAATATCAAGTGTCAAAAAAGGAAAATCTGCAAAGTGCCTTTTTGAGGGTTTGCACAATGAGATTGTAATTCTAAATGGTACAAGGATCTGGAATACATCCACTACAGTATTATTGCAATATGAAATCTGGCTTATATACTAGTCATATGGGAATGTGGAGAAACCAAACAGCTTTCAAACTCAGTGCACATTTGCCTTTGCAAAGACATTAAGTAAAGAGGCTAATTCACAAACTGGCAATTGGCTGCTTTGTAGCAGTTCTCACTTGGGGCCACTGGGATTACTACAAGTTGCTGACAGCAAAAGATCTTGTATTTGTAACGTAGAAACTTAGTTTCAAAGTAAACCTTTCCCTTTCATACAAACATACAGTGTCTTAGTTAGAATTGTTTCTCAAATATATTCATGCAACAGAAAGACTCATAACACTATTGTATACTAAGCTCCACTGATGTTCCATTTCACATTTGAATTCTCGATTGATGCCACAGTTGCTAACACCAACCAAACCACTATAGTGTAGTCCCCATTGCATCACTCTTACAAGATGCATCTTAATTAATCCTTTGAGATTGTGTAAAGATACTCATTTTCATCCATCTGGAAATTTTTATTTCATCACTCACTCTCATTATATGTTTAAGAGTTAACAATTTGTAACCTTTGGCCATTTTTAGTCAAAGCTCAGAAGGTTCACCTGATTCCATGGCACTATTTGAAAAGAGAAGTGAGTTCCTCCCAGTGTCCTGGCCAACAATCCCCAGATAAAACTGTTCATTCATTTCATGGCTGTTTGTGGACATCGCTGTGTTCAAATTAGCTGCAGTGGTCGTCTAAAAAAAAGTCATTACATTTTTCAGCA